GCCAGACCCCCACCCTTGCCAGCCCAGGCCTCTCTGTAGGCCGCTGCCCAAGCTTTGCTAGCTGCCTATGTTTGTCATTTTCCCAGAGCACTTAGATTAGAACTCAAGATTATATTTTTCTCTTTCTCCCGCCGGAGTGTGAGCAACCTGAAAGGTGGAACTGTGTCTTCTCTAGATCCCCATCTCGTAGCCCAGTATTTGGAATCCACCAGACACTTCCATATGTTGTTGAATGACTGAACAAGAGAACAGACAGGTAGATGCATTGGAAGATGCCGTGAGGAGGCAGAGGTGTAGGTTTGACAGGACCAGTGGGCTCAGCAGGTAACCTTGGCCTGTCCGCAGGCTCAGACTGCCCCCGCAGGTGAGCCAGCTTCTTTGCGAATGTGGATTATTAATTCTAACGAGGGAGAGCCAACCATAAGCGCACTCCTGGGGAAAACCAGGGTAAGTGCTGGTAGCCAGAGGGGCCAGCCCTGCCCTGTGGAGCAGCACGCTGTGCTGTGTGTCTGTGGAAACAAACCTGACGAGGCTGTTCTCGAGAGAAATGCTGGCATCAGGCCTCAGTGCTGAGGCTGAGGCCCTGCAGTGGCAGTGGGCAGGCACTCTCCAGAGCTATTAAATCGACCATTGTAAAGGCTGCACCCAAGGATCCGAAACTAGTGTGGGCAGGGCAGGGACAGAGAAGTCCTTGCCCTCTCCCCGGGCCGGCTGTGGTCACGGAGCTCACTCCACTCCACTCAGCATTCAGCCTCCAACGCCCAACGCCAACCAATTTCTGAGCAATTCTTCCGTGAGTCCCCTGTTCCCGTTGACCTCACAATTTCATCCAGAAACACTTAACCATGAGACACTTCAGTGTACCGATCGCTTAGCGCTGCTTTATTCTTAACTTGGTAATCATCAGAGCCTGTGCTAAAAGATAAACAAATAAATAATACTTCCTCATCGGGCCAGGCTCCAGTTACTGCTCCAAGGCAAGAAAGGCCTTCCAGATTCGCTCTTGGTCTTAAAACTTCTGCCTTGGGAACAATTTCTGGGATGATCTATGCTAGGGTAAAGGTGAGCTTCTGATGATATTAGATGGTGTGACATCCAGAGAGCTAGGAATGCCTCAAGTCTGCCCTGGCAGCTTCCTCGGGTGTATGAAGCCCCAGTACTTTCACACTGAGCACGCACAACAGGAATAAGTGCTCTTTATTGTTTGCTAGGCCAAAGTCCAATAGCCCCCAAAGCAGAACGAAATGAGAAAAACTGAAACACAAGCCTTAAACTCGAGGCTAGATAGAATCTCTCATCCCCTCTCCTTCCCATCCCACCCAATAACCCTTGGCACCAGCCCATCAGGACATACCTACTGAGAAAGGGAGGGGGAGAAAAAAAGAGGGGGGGGAGAGGCAGGGTGAGTGATTCAACCTACAGCATTCATCCACCCAGCCATACGGATCTCTAGGCAGAGAAAGTAGACCTCAGGGCTCCCTGGGCACTGTCTAGCTGACCGATTCTATCTCTCGGCCTCGCAGAGAAGAGGAGAATGTGCCAGAACAAAGTGGAGTTCAAGTCCCGCTGCTCTCCCAACTTGTCTGAGGAGCTTTGGTAAAATCTGATCCCCGAGACCGACCCCTGATACTCTGATTCAGTAGATCTGCCTGCCACAGAGCCCAGGAATCTGAATTTAAATAAAGTCCCGGTTTGAGAACTATTAGTGAGCCTCTGCGTTCTCTTACGTGGTGACAAGAATAACAATTTGATCAAGGACTGGTAGGGTGAGGCAAAACTTTGGTACTGTCAAAGGCAGTTGTAGGTAGGAAAGAAGTGGTTTCATGGTAAATGTCGTGTCTTCTCCAAGCTCCCAAGATGTGAAGATCCAGGTTGCTGCTTCTGACAGTCTGCACAGCAAAATGCTTGTTGGTTGTGTTTACAGTAATGCCACAGACTAGATTACAGCCAACTGAGTCTATTAACAAGCAGGTGGCCTTGCCATTTGTCCAGGACGGGGCGGGGCACCTGTCAGCCTCACGTGTACCCCCCCACCCCCCACCCCCCACCCTCCCCACCCCCCACCCCCCCAGGCACCCCCACCCCCGGCCCAGTGCTAGAGGCTCAAGGAAGAAAGTGTGATCCTCCTCTCCCGGGGTGCAGTCCCATCCAGCTTTTTGGCACCCCTTAGACAATACTTTTTTCTTAAGATAATTTTATTCCCATTTTCTGACTTTAAAAAAATTGATTCCTCTTTGTATGATAGCTATTCAGGTATTCAAAACTCCACTTCTTCAGAACAAGTCATCTCACTTTACTGATATTTGTTTGTCATAGGTCTAGCTTTAATGTAACTAATATGTTTGAGCCTTTTAAATGTATCTATAACACGGATATCAAATCATTTACATTATCGATGTGAAGACACCTGTATAAAATCATTTCTTTCCCGAGTCTGAAGCATGGCTTGGTTTGATGTGTGTATTCGTAGGAGATTGCTGTTTTGAGACTGGAGGGAGATGTTTTGTTGGGGACACATTGGGTATTGGAAGCAACTTGGGGGTCTGGCTCCTTTAAGAAGTTGAGTTGATTTAGTGAAAAAACCTTTCTTTGAGAGAAAGGGCCTATTAGTGCATAAAGTAGGAGTGAGCGGAGATCAAGAACATTATGTGCTGATGTTCTAAAATGAGAAACTGAGGCAGCGAGGGAAGAGGGAGAAAGGGAGGCAGACAAGCTGGTTGCTCCAGAGACCAGGTCTAAAACAGCCTGGAAGCCAGGAAGTCACAGCAACGCTCCCAAAGCAACAGGGACAAGGGACAGAGGCGTCTCACACCTGTCCCGAGATGTAACTAACCTCCGGGAATAGGTGGGACCAGGAACTTTAAAGAGTTCTAAGACACGAGGGAGCTAACAGGTGATAGCTTTTCTGTAGCTATTAAGGAAATCAGTTTGGAGGGTAAAGATATTTAATTTGAACATAGAACTTGTTGTATTTAATAGAATGTAGAACTTTGGAGCTTTATATGCTTATAAGATAAATACAGATATTAATTTATCTTTTGCTGTACAGATAGATGGAGATCTCCAGTAAGCTCTATCACACATTATATTTCCTATTTTAATAGAGTACAAAGAACACTTGACTTGGAGTCTGAAAACATGCGTTCAGGCAACCTGAATAAGCGGTGACCTTTCTGCGTGCAGTTTCCTTCTCTGTGAAATAGGTCTGTGATCTGCACCGATCTGCCTTCCCCTCAAGTCTCCTGCAAGAATTAAATGCAAATAAAAATACACTTCGGAAAAGACAAGTTCAATAGAAATATATTATTATTATTATTATTCCCTGGATATATTATTCCCTGTGGAAGGCAATGCCTTTGTTCTAAACGCCGTTAAATGGGCGCCCCCTTTAGCCTGGCGTGGCAGCAAGCTGAGGGGCAGTCCTGGCCTGAGGGGAAGACGACTCACCTCCAGAGGGGTCTTGTATAAAGGCCACCGAACTCCAACGACCTCTTCCTGACATGGAGGCTTCACTGGCCATCTGTGACGGGGCCTGAGGTGGCCAGGCTTCCAGTGAGGGTGTTCCGTCGCTTCCTTGTGTGGCACTGCACTGTCACTTACTCTGACCCACCAGCGGGCCTTCCGAATGCCCTATGCCACGCCCGTAGTGCGCTGGTTCTGCCACCAGGGGACACTGCAGTGACCGACACGGGAGTCCCTCCTGGGCCTCTCTGCAGGACCCAGCAGTTCAAGGATGCAGAACCGCGTGAGTCGCAGCCGGTCTTCCTTGACCCAGGAGATCATTGTACGTACAGAGCACCCAAACCACTACCGTTAGCCTGCTCCTGCAGTCCAGAAAAGCTCCGCCCGTGGGCCTTCTCTGCTTCTTGGTTTGCCTGCTAAGAATGTGAAGGAACCAGAAATCTCATTCATTTCCAGGAATGTAAAACGATACAACCAGTTCAGAAAATAGTTTACAGTTTCTTACAAAGGTGTGCATATACCCTCCATATGATTCAACCATTCCACTCCTGGGTATTTACCCAAGAGAAAAGAAAGCGTATATATTCATCCACAGACCTGTACACAAATGTTCACAGCAGCTTTATTTGCAAAAGCCCAAACAGGAAACAACCCACATGTCTATCAACAGGTGACTGGATAAACAAATTGCAATATATTCATGCAGTGGAGTATACTCAGCAACAAAAGGGAAGAAACTACTGATACACAGCAACAACATGAGTGAATCTCAAATTTAAAAATAAAAGATGAAAAAGAGTAAAAAAAAAAAAAAAAAAAAATTTGCCCTGAAGCTAAGCTCTTCAAGACACATAATTTAAGTTTCTCTTTCAGCTAATTAGATATTGTTCTGCAAATTGGGCTGTTCTCTTTGAAAGATGAGCTGCAATTTACTTCCCTCGCCCTCTCCTTAAACACAAACTGAACCGTAAAACATGGCCATTTGATTGTTTAGTCCAATCAGGAGATGATTTTGCACAGGGAACAGATATTCATCTTCTCGCCAACACTGAGCTTGTTTGGGCATTCCTCAACGGCTGCTGTGAGGATGACAGAATGCCTTGCTTAGCTGCCTCTCGCACTCTTGCAAGGCGGGCCCTGCAGGGAGTTACTGCAGCCCATGCATCTTAGCCGTTTCCTGAGTGACCAGTCACTAGCTGCGTTAACACAGCTTCGCCCTGATAGGGGGAGGTTTTTGTTATCCCCATTTTGCTGATAAGAAAACTGATGCCCAAAGCTGATGTCAGGCCAAGTCAAACAAATAGATAACCAGAGGAGCCAGCCCTTTGGTCCTCAAGTCCCATAAAACTATATATTGTCAGATAAGTTCACCATCAGTTAAAGAGGGAGAACGCAGGGTGGTGCAGAGTCCCCATGCCCACGCAATCCAGCTCTGGATGAGGTACCAGGAGCCCTCTAAAACCTTCTCTGATGCAAGGGGCTTGTACGCATAGTAGGAGAAAGGATCCTTTCTGGAAATTGCCTCTTTTCCTGTGCAGGGGGCCGGGTATTCTCTCATCCTCAAGACTGTGCACAGCATTTGATGAATGGAGACACTCTGAGTGGGGTCTACACCATCTTCCTCAATGGGGAGCTCAGCCAGAAGCTGCAAGTGTACTGCGATATGGCCACCGACGGCGGAGGCTGGATTGTAAGTACATGCGGCCACCCCCTTGCATGAAAACAGCTTTAGAGTTCTGGTGCGCCTAGCCCAGCACCTGCCCGGCCAAATGCACCATCCTTTGATCCTTCCCTACATGCCCGTCCTGGGGCTCTTCATTGCCCTCAGGGCCCTTGTTTGGCAGCCCAATCACAGCTTTGGATGGGCAGAAAAGGGACTAAATACAGCAAGGCTGCAGTGGCCTAGCCCTGTGAAGGGGCCCCGATGGCTGCTTCCCTCCTGCTCCTTCTGCGAGGACAGCTGATGCAGGAAGGCGCTGGGGAACGGCAGTGGTGGCTGCAGGAGTCCTCTCGCCGCGGGGGATGCAGCTGTAGCAAGCAGTGGAGGAAGAGGCAGCTCTTAGAGGAGGCGAGCCTCTCTGTGGAGGGTGACCAGGAGCCTCCTATGGGCCTTGCATATGACGAGAGGCGGAACACAGGCGGCCACCTCCAGCTACCAGGGCCACCCCACCGGCATCCTTCCCTGGCCTTCCTGGTTCTTCCCCAGAGCTGTCACAGCCTTCAGGGAACACCAGTGGTCGGGAAGAGAAGCGTCACTCTCTGTCACCACCCTCCTCCCACGAGTGAGAGGCAGGACAGGGCGGAAGAAAACGGGCGGCGTCAGAGCAGGCCTGTGCGGGGAGTCCCCGCAGCTCGGCCCACCGCAGTCCAGCACTAGCGGAATGGGCTTGGGATGGAGCCCCAGCCCCTCGGCCCTCCTGCCTGTCCCCTCTCTAGCTCTGCTAGCGCACGGCACTGGCTTTATCATGGTGCAAAGTGGATGGTTTAGAATAGAGTTAAATGGCGGCTGTGCGCATAACAGCTACTCTTGGGAGACATTTTCTTTTATGTTTCTGACATATCTGTGCCTCCTTCTTGAAGCATAATTGGAAATTGAAGCCGAGGCTGATGTATTGGAGGTTAAATGAAACCAGCTCTTAAACAGCTCGGAAAGTGACTGAAACGCGGTTGCTTTGCCTGCAACAGGGCGATGACAGTTACTAGCGGATTGAAGCTGGTCCTGTTCTCGCGGTGAGAAATGCTTTCTGCTGCGCTCCGTGGTGCAAGAGATTCATCTGCGAGCCAAGCCTACTTCCCCTGACTGTTTAGGGCTTGGTGCGCATCCTGAGTCCTTCCTGCATTGCAGGGGTGCAAACTGGCGTCAGCACCATCCTCCAGCCCATTCACCAGGGGCGTCTGCCCTTCTACAGAGGGCGGTGGGCCCCGGCTCCGAACACTGCTGCGCAATGCTGGGCTCTGCTCTGAAATGTGCCTGAGCTGGGCATCTCTGTCACTGCAGATATAAAACCCACTTATATTCATTTTACTTATCACAGCTTATTTTCCTTAGCACCTCTTCATTTTTCTTTCTCTTCACAGGTATTCCAGCGGCGGCAGAATGGCCAAACTGATTTTTTCCGGAAATGGGCTGATTACCGTGCTGGCTTCGGGAACCTGGAGGACGAGTTTTGGCTGGGTAGCACCTCTGTGTTGCTTTCCCTGCATGTGCTGCTCTGGCTTTTTGTCCGTCTCTCTCCTTTCCATGTCCATCCGGGATTATCAGAAAGCCGTGTTCATTGAGCAGCTGACAGCTCGTGAATTGCTTTCAGAACCTCTTGCTCTGTTTGGCTCCACTATTGATCTGTTTTTATCTTATTGTGGTGTTTTCCTCTTTTCTCTGTCTCTTCCCATCCTCATTAATAGTCCCTTATGCTGATGGGTCTTGACTTGAGACTACCGCACAGGGAGTGGGCTGCCAGGCGGGGCAGGGCGCCGAGAGCCCCGGGCTGGCCATTCCTGAGAAGGCAGCCAGCCCGCAGGTCGGGGACGAGGCCAGTCACTCTGCTTCCTTCCTTGGAGAATGTTATTAGCTGACTGGGGAAGGAAAGAGGGAAAAAATGAAAGTGGCATTAGAGGTGACTGGCAATTTCCTAGAGGCCTGACACCGGCAGGAGGCATAGATTGAGAAGCAAGCCGGTGTGAGAGGTAAGCACACACCCGAGCCAGGCAGGCGGTGCCGGTCGCGGAAGGCCGTCAGTGTGTCGTTACCCGCACGTCCCGTGGGTAGATTGCCACGGAGCGATGAAGGGAGGCAGAGAGAACGGCAGGTAATCGTGCTGCACGTCCGTGGGCTCCTTTCTGTCTCCCCTGCCGCTCCCGTCCAAGCCCTGCCACCTTCTCCTGGATGCCCAGAGAACAGGCCCCTAACTGGCCCCCTGCCTCCAGCGCCAGCCCATTGTCCCCGTGGCCACTAGAATGATCTTCCTCACACCCCAAATCTGAGCAGTGACCAACCTGGTCAACCTCCTTTGTAAACGCTTCAGTGACTCCATGTCGCCACCAGGTGAAGGCTGCGTGCCTTAGCCAAGGCGCAGCCCTCTCCACCGGCCTGCAGAGCCGGCTCTGCCGCTGCGGACCCCACCTGCTCTCTGCCAGGCCCCCGCCTCCAGTCTCCACGTGTGCAGAACCCCCGTGTTTCCCTGTGAGGGTCCCTCCCGGCGGGCTGCCCCTCACGGTCACACTGCGGCGTCTGTGTGTGTACTCAGCACACGCTACACCTCTGCCCACGGCACCCGTCCTCCCCCCTTTCTCACCCACTGCCTGTGGGCGAAGTGGCCACTGCTCCTTTCGTGGCCCAAATCATAGCACCTAGTACGTCCCGTCTCTCCTGACTGTGCCATGTAGGCTTCTTTCAGGCCCGGGACCACATCTTTTACTGCCATACCTACTGCAGCTCCTGGGGGACAGTAGGTACCTAAAAGGTAGATATCTATCAACCCTTCAATGATAAGAATTAATTGGGCACCTATTAGACACCCAGATTTGTGTTGGCCGATACAGGTCACGCCTCTTGTAATTTTCGTCCGATGCCATGGTTGGACACGGAGGCGGCAGGGATCCTGAGGCTCAGGGCTTGTGTTACGGGGTCAAGACGAGGTGTTGGGGCCCCTGAGCAGCCTTGGTGGGGACCATCAGCGGCCCGGGCTGGCCTGCTTTCGGGAAGCTGGGAGCCCAGCAGGACCTGTTTGGTACCGAGCTGAGAAGCACTGAAGGCAGAAGCAGTCTGAACACCCCTCCCCTTCCCGAAAACCTCTGTTTCGAGGCCACGGTCCACTTCCCTCCCATCTCCCAGGCTGCTGGGGCCGGGCGCAGTGGGCCCTCTGCTCTTCTCCGCAGGGCTGGACAACATCCACAGGATCACGTCCCAGGGCCGCTACGAGCTGCGCGTGGACATGCGCGACGGCCAGGAGGCTGTCTTCGCCTACTACGACAAGTTCTCAGTCGAGGACGGCAGAAGTCTGTACAGACTCCGCACAGGAGCCTACAACGGCACCGCAGGTACCTACGGCCCCTGGACAGTCCCCAAGGGCGGGGGTGGGGGGGTGGCAGGACAAGGGCCCCACGTCCTAGTCCTGAGCTGCGCCGGGCAGTGGCCGTCCCCACGGAGCTCCTGAAGCCTCTGCTAGCCAGCAGGAAAGGCCAGGCGCCTGCCATCTCTGGCTCTGGACCCCGCAATCCCTGATCGCTCGGGTGACTTAAAACCCATTTCTCAGGACTTCAGTTTCCTCATCTGGAAAATCGTAATAATGACACCTACCCTACTTCACCAAGTACTCAGAGAAAAATGCAATAAATGCCGTGAAAGTGGTTTTAAAGTTAAAAAAAGAAAGTGCAACATGAGGGCAAAAAGATTGCTTCTTTTCTCTAGATGAACCACTGTGGGCTCTCATCCGCGAGAACAGCAGCGTCTGCTGTCTGGGTAGAAACCCCACAGAGACACCTGGGAAACCACCTTTGCACCAGTGCAAATAACACAGACTCTCTCCACCCTCAGAGATGCCCCTAGCCCTGCCCCGCCCTCAGCAGTCATGATAATACCTGGTCAAGAAGCAAACAACGCTGCTTGAATGTTCCTCACTGGCCATGCTTCTTTTCCTTCCTCCACGAGAACCACATAGATGGTCGGTTTTCCATATAGATATTTTCTGTATTTCTCTTAAGCAAAACAAGCATCTCAGCGAGCTCTGTTGCATTACTAATTCCCTCGGCACATAATATCCAGTCTGCTTCCTGGCTTTGTCCGTTTGTTTCCTGTGCGCTATTATAACCCATTTCATAAAACCTGCTTTGCCAAATATTCTACTGTTTGATATATGGAATTATCGGCTCTCTTTCATTAACTCCAATTTTGGGATGAAATGCTGGCATATAAGTTTAGCAACATTTTTATGCCTCTTGGAATTAAGAAGAGCATCACAGTGTTGCCCTTCCGGTTACTGCATCTGTTCACATGTTCCTCTTCTCAGCCAGATACTCCCAAGAGAAGACGCACATTCCTTTGTTGTTGTACCATTTGAGATCATCCCCAACAGCAGTCAGACCTCCCTGAAGTGCCCCAACCGAAGATCCGGTTTGCCATACTTTGGGCATAAAATAGCCATCGATGCTCCAGCCATGCTCGCTGGAGCATATTAAACAAGATGTCAAAAATCACTGATGCTGTTCACCCCCTAAGATGAGACTTGTGCCTGTAGAAAAGCCATTCCTGTGGTTGGAGAGTGAAAACCAGGACGTAACGCGTGTGATATATGAGGCGGACACATGAGGCAGAAACGGGAAGGGGAGCCAGACTTTGAGAGGACACAAAGACCAACGTTGGGAGCATGTCAGAGACGAGGGCAGCCAGCAACAGATGGGGCCGGAGAGGGTTGTTCCAGGGGAGCGAGCAAGGCAATTCTGAGCTGGAGGGAGAAGACAGGGCCATGGGTAGAGACGGCAGTCAAGGACTTGATGGTCAAAGAGACAATCACTGGGGGGTACAATTAATCCAAGAACTTTTATGGTAAAGGATGTGACTTAGGGCAGGGAGAGGTGAAAATGCTAAAAAATGGAAAATAAAAGGAAAAACTAAGAAATCTTGTCTGACTTTTCCAGGATCTGGAAGACATGGGAAGGAATGAGTGCAGGTGTAGGATTAGCTCTAGAATCCTTGGAGACTGGAAGGGGAAGATGAAAAGGGCAAGACAGAGACAACGACACACTGAGTTAGGGACCCCCCTGAGAAGTCACTCTTGCCTAGAAAACAAAGACCAATCCTGAGAGTCAAGTTGCGGTGGGTCGCATCAGAGGCATGGAGTGGTCGCTGTCAGCATGGGCCAGAAGCCACAGAATCAGACTACGGTCTCTCCTCACTCAAAGCAAGCTCAGAAGCATCTAAGCCCACTTCCAGTCAACAAATGCCACAAACCTTCCCAACCTTCCTGGCCACAGATCCTGCTAAAAACTTCACCAATTGTTATAACCAATTACACTCTGATCCCCCATTTCAAATACTCAGTTCACAATACCCCGAAGAGAACAGCAGCCTCTGCTTCCCTCTAAGGACAGAAGCCCCACATCCCCACGCAGCCTACTCCATCGTAAACAGCCCTGACGTCCGGCCATTTCTCGGTGCACACTTGGCCGCAATGTGCCTCTTCATAGGTTCCACCTGTGAGTCCTCGGGCCTCCACACAGAGCTTATTTGTTTTTTCTCAGTAGCACAGCGCATATCTGGCGACAGTGATCATGGGCCCCTTTGAGCCCACTCTCCTTCAAGATACGGCCCCGTGTTCCAACCGCTGCTCCTTTGACATGGCCATGACTCCTCATCATCCTGTGTCCTATGATGGGAACTCTAGTTGCTAATGTCCCTTTCCATGTGGCGCCAAGTTCTGAATGTGGGCTTTGGGGTGTGGTCTGACCAGGTGAGCCAGGGAGGGGCTGGCTCCACGGAGGCTGCACAGTGGTGACCCCGAATGGCCCGGGGAAGCCTGGCTCATCACTGTCCCCTCTGGAGACAAAAGGAGCCGTGAGTGTCCCGTGCCCCAGTGCAGGCCTGCAGGAAACACCAGGGCTGCCGGCGGGGCTGAGTGGCAGGGCTCCTGCGGGAGGCCAGGGGTGAGGAGAGGGGTTGGAGAGAGCAGCATGGGAGGGGCCGGCCTGGGCGAGGTGGGGCCGCAGCTCAGGACAGCCAGGCTGAGGACCCGGGTGGAAACAGCAGAGGTAGGCGGAAGGTTCTGTAAGTGGAGGCCAGGCTTGCTGGGAGTGGGTCAAATGTCCAGAAAATCCCGATGAAAGAGCGACAACCAGGACTGCCTTACAAATGTATCTTTTTTGCAGGGGACTCTCTCAGCTACCATCAGGGACGCCCTTTCTCCACAGAGGACAGAGACAATGACGTTGCGGTTACCAACTGCGCCATGTCATACAAGGGGGCTTGGTGGTACAAGAACTGCCACCGCACCAACCTCAACGGGAAGTACGGGGAGTCCAGGCACAGTCAGGTGGGTGGCGCGCTGCCGCTGCCGTGAGTATCCTGAGCCGCGGAACCCGAGCTCAGGCTTTACGTCCTAAACACACATGCGAGTCTTGCATCTCCCTCTGTAAAGAAATACTTAGTCTTGAGCAAGGACTGTCAAAGAGACACAAGTAATGCAGATGCTTGGGGCTGAGGACAGGGCTGAGGAGAAGCCAGGGAAGGGAAGGAAGGGAAGGGAAGGGGAAGGGGGAAGGAGTAAGGGAAGGGAAAGGGAAAGGGAAAGGGGAAAGGAGAGGAGAAGGGAAAGGGGAAAGGAGAGGAGAAGGGAAAGGGGAAAGGAGAGGAGAAGGGAAAGGAGAGGAGAAGGGAAAGGGGAAAGGAGAGGAGAAGGGAAAGGAGAGGAGAAAGGACCCAGGAGCTGGAACTCACCCAGGGGAGCCCTTCACCACCGGTCAAGTTCCATTTCATCTCCTCATCTAGCAGATCCCACAAAGAGCTTATCAATTCTGGGGACAGCTTCACTGGCTCACCTTTATCCTAAAAGGGGTCCTAGGACAGTAGGGGTCAGAAATACCAGCGTGGACTGGCCCATCTTTCCTCACCAGAGACTACGAGTCCATGGGCCAGGCCAGGTGACAGGGAGACCAGATGGACCAACTGGGACTTTCCCAGTTTTAACACTGAAAGGCCCACCTCAGTTCTGGGTAAACCAGAAGGGTTGGTCACCCTAGGTAGAAACCACCTGAGTGTCCCCTCAGGATGAGCCATTAGACACAGCCATTTCCTTCCAAATGCTTCCACACTGTCGGGATTTTGAAATTCACCACCAGGTCCTGGGGCATGCCACTCCTGAAAGCCAAAATCATAAAACTGACAAGGAATGACCTGAAACAAGTTCCCAGTGAAGATCCAGGCCGCATGCATGTGCAAGGGGAGAGCTGGAAAGCGGCTCTGCTCCCCTCACTTTATGGGGGCCCCAAGCTTCCTGTTAACTGACAGCAGCCGAGTCCACGCCTTGGCCTCCTCACTCCCATCACTGCCTTCCTCTCAAGCAGGGCATTCCACGGAGAAGGCAGGGGGTGGGCTGACATGCTTATCTTTGTCATGCCAGGGGATCAACTGGTACCACTGGAAAGGCCACGAGTTCTCCATCCCCTTTGTGGAAATGAAGATGCGCCCGTACAGCCCCCGGCTGGCGGCGGGGAGGAAGCGCCGGTCCTCGCAGTTCTGAGCCGTGGGCAGCTGAGAGTCAACCAATCTTTCTGTCATTTGTTTGTATTTTATGATATGAAATAAGGGGGGTAGGGTAACAGTACTGTGCTTTGCAACATATTAAGTCTCTGAAGGAAGCGGGGATGGAGCAGGAATCCGCTGGCTACCATCTGCCCTTGGTTTCTGCGGCCCCAGAGCCTGACCCTTAGCCTCCGTCTGCCTCCTGCCCAGTCACCCGTGACCTTCACCTCCTACCCCACCAGGGAGGACAAGTGGGAAGTTTTCTTAAAAGACCAATTCAACAGCAGGTCCTGGAGTGCAGGCTGTTGTGGTGACAGGCGCACACCTTCTTTTTCTACCCCCGTTCTGAGATGTCCTTCACCTTCCAGGTTATTTGTGGTCTGGCTGCCGCCTCTGGTGGCCAGGTTCTCACATCAGCCCAGAAAAGAAGCCTCAGCACGAGAGCTTTGCCAACAACCTCCCTTAAGAGAAAACAGATCGACAGCCCCTGCCCGGCAACCTAAGTCCTCTTTATGGCCCAAAGCTTCTCATCTTCTGACACCTTTGCTCTTACCAGCCGAGTGTCCTGTTACCGTTCAAGAGCTAGTGGCTCTGTTCCAGCCTCAATAGACCTTTTGCTTAATTCTACCCTATCTTAGACCCAGAGCCCCCAAGCCCAACCACGTTCTGGAATCTAGTTCCCAAGATCAGCTGCTCTTGGCCCTGGCTTGCACAGTGGCCACGTCCTGCAGGCCATAAGCCACAGTCCCCACCCTCAGGGCAGACAGTAACTTTTTGAGGAGGTAGGAGAGGGAGATGATTGCTGTTTTTGCACTATGGGGTTAGGCATTGAAGAAAGGACAGAAGAAGTCGAAATCAGGGCACCTGCCACAGAGATTGCAGACCCTATAGGAAACACAGATCTTGCCTAGCTTGGCTTTCTCCATTTCTGGTCCTATTCATCATGGTTTTTTTCCCTGAACTGCAAACTGAATGCCTCATTTCTGTCTTCTGTCAAGCTCTCCTTAGTGTGGGTAGCTTAGCAAGAGTCAGAAGGAATAGTTACGTGCCCAGCCAGTCCTTCCCCTGACTGGTAATCCTAGAAAGAAGTGGAATTTTTGTTTTAGGAGGTAATTTTTTTTCTTTTTTGGACCTGTGGGAAACAGAAATGACCCCCTTAATGAGGTGAGATCATGAGAAGCCTTTCTTCATCTTCCTTTATTATTCTGCCTTCGAGAGGAAAAATGAAACGTGCCAGAGGAAATTACATCCAGAAATCCAAAGGTGAATGGGGAGGACTGTGGGCCTACCTCCCATTTTATGAGATGTGCTGTCTTCACTAGCATGATTTCATTTTTAAGCCCAAGAGAGCTGGAGGATCTCGAAGCCATGACCTTTCAACTTCTCCAAATCAAATGTCAGCGACAGCCATCCCTGCAGCATCTGCCCAAATGAGCTGCCTTCTCCCCTTCCTCTCCCACCCCTCAAGGCCCAGTTCTGTTTTCTGTGGGGCCCATGTTTGTCAGACTGGGGCTTCTTGCACCTTTACCAACCAGTTACTGGATGAGCCTGAAAGTTAGCAATTTTGTGATGGAAACATCCACACTTTCACTAAGCTTTGAAAACCAGGAAGGGAGGGGCCCTTGCGCCAACCGTCACACCTGTGACATTGTGGGGACCGAAGTCAGCCTGCCACCTGTGCAGGCATGGTCCCCTTAGCAGGCTCCAAGGCTCTGTCCACTGCCACGGTGTGGATGTGACTGGCATACCCCAGGCTAAAACATTGAGGTGGCATTTCATCTCTCAGTTCACCACGGGCTTCAAAAAACTAGGAGAATGAAGAAACAGAAACAAATCCTTTCAATAAGGCTGTAAATTAAGTGAATTTAGCTAGAGAGTGGGACAACAACAAATAAATAGTAGGAAGCATACTGAATAGGCACTCTCGGGCCACAGCCACTGTGTAGGTCAGCTGCTGCCATGTTGTTAGCTATACGACATCCGACGGGTTATTTCACCTCTCTAGGCCTCAGTTTCCCCACCTGTTGAATGAGAGATTAGACTAGAATGATTTATAACTTCCTTTTCTGTTTTGACAGTCAACAACACTAGTCTATCTGAAAGCTAAGTAAAAATTGGCATTGGTGAGAGACCACAATTAAGTACGGAAATTCACCAGGAGCCCTGTTTTTTGAAACAAAGAAAGACAGAGATTCAGAAGGCGTAAGCAAAAGCCACACACACGAGAAAACATTTCAGAAAAGATAATGCCAAGTGAGAGGCTGAACTCCTTTTGTCTATCAAAGCAGAGCTCAGGGACCTGGGTGGTGCCAGTGCAGCCCACTTCATCAGGGGAACTGAAACAGGAAAAGATTATCCGTTGTCAATTCAGGTGAAAGTCAAAAAACATCAGCAGAAACCAAAACCTGCCTTTTATTGAAACCATTTAACCCGATGGAACATTTTTATAAATAGTATCAGCAGCATTGCCTAGATTCATTTTAAGGGACTTCAAAGATCAGCTCACTCAAAACTCCACAAAAGGATTTGTGGATTCCTTTTATTAAGTGGAGTGATTTTTTTCATGAGTTTTCACCATTCTTAAGCGACTCTGTGCCCCCTCTCTTCCCAAGGCCATGGTCAGCTGGACTCAGGCTTCTTAACTCTGCTCACTGGTCCCTGCTTATCCTGGTCCTCGGCGCACGTCCACTTCCCCAGAGGGGAATCCAGTAAGCAGCATTCACAGAGCACCCACCCAAGCACACCAAAGTTTCCTTCAAGGGACTCGGAAGGAACAGAGGCGAGCCCTGCCAGGAAGGCTGTTCAACGGCAGACACATCAGGATGTTGACTTACACCTGAAACAAACAAAAAACAACTAGACCCAAGATCCAGGCAGTTTCTCTGTTTTCTTGTTTATCTTCGTTTCCCGATCATATAAAGGTGGTTTCCAGCATAGTGAGCTCACATTCTCTGGGGTTATTTCTGGAAGGCGAAGGGGTCAGGTGTGAAAAGGGTGTAGCAAGAATGCCAAACCCTGAGGAAAGCTGCTGGCCTTTAGGCAGGATTTAACTGGAGGAGGGGGACTTGCCGAGCATGACCACGAGGTGGCGCTCACCCCCTCACGCCCCGTGGGAAACATCACCTGGGATGAGAACAGCAAGGCCCTCAGGTTCCCAGTACTTCCAAACCAGGACCCAGGAAAGCTGGCTGACTGATTCGTACAGGAGCTGGGTTTATAAAAGAGTAACAACAAAATGGCAGCAAGGAAATGCAGAGGAAACTTTCACAAATTTTTCAATCCGCCCTCCTCCTCACCTACCAACTCCCCCACTCCCCTCCCCATAAAGCGGTAAGACACCTAACACCTGTTTCCTTCCACCTGGGAACCAGCCCAGTCATTTCAAAGACAGACCTAAAGAATCAAGGATGCCATGAGCTCAATGCCAAACCAAACAATCTCAATCACATTTTCACTTAAAATCAACAGAGCTGTAGATTAAGGGACAAAAGGTCATTGTGGAAACTTTTCAAAGAGCTCTTTTAAAAGCATCAGTTGAGAAAGAGTCTATGAGCTCCTCTTTGTCCTTTCCTCTGGAGAGAAGAGGGCACCTGCGAGAACACTGGATGCACCAAGCTGAGGGTGCTGAAACAGAGTAGCTGGCGGCCTGGATATGCAAATATTCCTGGGTCATGAAAACAATTTTTCTTTTTCTTTCTTTTTTTTTTTAATCTCCACCCAGAATTTCAGGAAAGGTGGAGCCACTTACCCAGGATCTGTGCTTTTCTACTGCTTGATTTCTTATCGCCAGACTCTATTTAGTCTAATCCCAGTGCTCTCCCTCCAAGGGGCAGGGCGGAGGTGGGGGCAGGGGCATCTCACTGTCAACTCGTAGAACGTTGATAAGGAACCTCTGAAAGATTCAAACTTCAGTCTTAATAATCCCACAGAAGGTGGGATAATTTGTTTTCACTTGCTTCAAACTTGCCAAGGCTGCCAGGAGGGTCTTGAACCCTCACAGGAATGAGGCCAATCTGTGAAGTCTGAGAGCTCCCGGCCTCTCATCCACATACCGAGAGCTGCACACTCGGCCCTGCCCAACCCCCCCGAACGGGCCATGTGCATCTAGGCCGCAGTGAGAGCGCAGTTCTATCCCCTGGGGAGACGCGAGTCACAGGGCTGGCCTCTGGGTTGTGCCAGGAGCCTCTCTCTGGCTGTACCACAGGGTCCTTTGACCACGTTCCTGAAGATGGATGGCTAAACACCTCCCCAAACCTTTGCTTCTTCCGTAACCCAACCCCACACACCTGTGATAACGTTTCTCTCAACAACACTGGGGCATTTTGACACTACCCGGCCAAATGAAAACTCACAGACCAAATGAAAGCTTCCGAAAGCAAGTCGAGAGAACAACCCCAGTGTGCTTTAAGATGATGTGTTGATGGAGATTCAGGTCCAGTTTGAAAACAATGGCTCTGGTTCATTCTAACTGTGTCCTTACTGGATTTGTTTATACCAGTTCTGTGTTCTTCAAGCTTTGAGAAACACCTAGGAAGAAGAAAAAAATTAAATTAAAAATAAATTTTAAAAGCGGTGGATGGATCACTGGGGATTAAAAGCAAGCCCTCTACAGATGGCTGCACGCTATATACGCAGAGACCAAGCATGAGCAGCCGTGGCAAAGGGACCCGCATTTGCCTCCCAGGTTCAGGCCTCCAACCTCCCACCAGAGCTCCTGTCAGTTCACCCAATGTACTTAAGGAGAAACCGAGGCACCAGAGGCTTGCACTGCACGGAAAACTAGAAACAGAAAGGTTTCTGTGCTTGCTCAACCAATTTGGCCTGGATCTCACTTTTTCTTCACCAGTAGTCCCCAGCATTCTGATGAATTTTTCAAGGTCACCCCTTGCCTGAAACATGACTTCATTGCACCTGCAGCACTTCATTGTCCAAATGTCCTTGGCAAACCTCACAGTCTTTGGACAGTGTTGCATTTTCTCCAAACGGGAAATCCTCCCTCCTTCCCCAAGCTTAATAAGGCTATTGCAGCACATCCAAATAACGCAGCTCTTGTTCCACAGACAAACTTGGCCCCCTCTGATAACTTAATAAAACAGCTCCTTATTGTCTGGGCTGTGAGGCTGGGCTAATGCTAAATTTCCAGTTCAGAAACATTTAACCCTTTCAGTCTTACAGGGTCAGATTGGCTCTCCCAGGTACTGGCATAGGTACCTGGCACTCTGGGTTCAGCTCAGGCAGTGCAAGTGTCTTCCTGCAAGATGCAAGTCGCATGCCCAGGAGGTCTGGACCATCTAAGCCACAAGAGAGGGTTTGGGCCCAGATGCAAGGCCAGGAGGAGAATGCAGGAACGAGAACTATTGTTTTCTCCCCATCGCTGGTTTAGCAGCCCCTAGAGAGACCAGTGTTGCTCTTTAACATCCTGTCATTGAACACTAATGTGCTCAACACTGCCTCCAACAGGCAAACGTTGGGAGCACACCTTCACAGATGGAGGGGACTCAGGATCATCTAATCCAATCCTCGTGTTTTATTTCCTCTCAAGGAAACTGAGGCCAAGAAAGGTTAGCCAACTTGCCCAAAGGTGCTAACTGCCAAGCCAGTTAGTAACAGAGCTGGATCAGTTCTGGTAAAGGCTTTTAATTGGTCTCTCCCCAAATGAAGACTAAGAGAAATAGTATATATTGCACACCTACTCTTTACCAGACAATGTGCTAAGGGCTTTACGTATGTTACTTTGCTAAATCCTCAGCACAACCCTGAGTTGGGTTTGGCTATTTCACAGAAGAGGGAATGGAGGCTCAGGAGGGTTAAGTAAGATGCCCAGAGTCGCACAGCTACTAAGTAGAAGCCGTCCTCTGAACTTCTTCGTCTAATTCTAAACCCCTTGACTTTCTCCTTTATTAGAAATGTATGCCTTTCATACTTACTCAGCCAGGTGGCCAGCGCCTTCTATTTTACCGATGTTCCCACAAAGGGGCTTCTGATGCCACTTCCTGTCTCCTCTGTCTCGTAAGAGAAGGGAATCCTTGCATTATTTTGGCCACATGTTCCAGGGAACCCTCCACCTCACCATGGGGGGAGGTAAGAAATATCCTGGCAGCTCGCTCCTTTTCTTTTTTAAATTTGGGAGGTGAGAGAGAGGGTCCACAGCAGTTTAGGAGGGGAAAACAAGGACCAGGACTCAAACACGATCTCCCCACCCCACTCTTTTGGGAACACAGCAGCGTAGTTCTCTCCCACCATTAGAAGAATGAGATATTCCAAAGTCATTTTTTTCAAACTGGAGCAGGCAATGTAGCCAGGATTGGGGAGGGAAAAGCCACAGAATAAACAGGCTACATGTTCCTGGAGCATCAATTTTGCACCAGAATCTGGGAAGAAAGTGTGATATTATTAATGTGTTCAAACCAGCACAGATAGCACCAAAGCAGAACCCCCACGATTTTGTAGCTAAAACCAGCAGGTTGTAGACTGATTTGGGCTGCCTCCTCCCAGACTCCCAGGGGTACAAACACCTTCAGGGTCCCCTACAGGAGCACATCAGTGGACATTTTTGAGGAATGAGGCTAGAAGAAGGCAGAAGAGAAATTAATTTTATTTATCCCCTGGTTTCTTTTTCCCACTCTTTAGCAGCCACACATCCCCAGCGGGTGGGGAGGGCCCAGAGGAAAGTTGGCTACAATCTTAGCTTTCTTTGCTACTTTGGGGAATTTAGAAGGAAATGTGCATGTGGTAACTTGGCGTTTGTAGCTGCTAGGCCAAAGCTCCAGGCGTGAAGCCCTTCCCCCAACTGAACGCTGTTTGTGTATAGAGGAACACATCTCCCCAGGAGCGAGCTCTGCTCTTTAAGGGCCCTTTCCAGCGTGGGGCTGCCGTGGCAGCAACGCCCATGTGTCAGACGCAGCAGACCCCGTAGTTCCTACAAAATGTCAGCCCACAAGTGCTCCTGTGCCAAGCTGCTCTCCCGCCCTCCCTGCTCGGAAGCCCAGACTGACACCATGTCCCACACGCTCAAGGTCGGCGCCTGCAGCAGTCTGCTCTGGCTGGCACTCGGCCTCTTCCTTCCTGGCACCCACACAGACGCACAGACACACCTGCCCGGATTATTCCAACCTCACATTCCTTCCGGGCCACAGGAATTCCCAGGTCCCCTAAGCAAGTCACTGTGACGTTGAGGGAATCATTGCCTAGGGCTTCGAGCAGCTGAAACCCACCCTGGTGGTCTCTAGGTTGTTGTTCTGAGAAATCATAAACACCAAATCCTCCAATCCCTCTGAATTTGAGTTTGTCATTTTAACCTTTAACAGCCTTTTCAGGTAAAAATAACAAAGACCAATTTACTGACTTTGTAGCTACAATGTGCTTGCAAAAGCGCTTAATTAAAAGAAAGACTGGAAGGAAGGGGGAAAAAGAAGAAGAGTATGGAGTATGTGCTCCTGAGATGGTGCACACCTGAATGAACTGAAATCAAAATAAAACTCGCAGAGGAAGGGAGAGGAAAAACCAACTTCCCCCGTCCTTTCATGGCACTGTAGCTCAAAGACTGGAATCTCTGCTTGTTAACCATTGTTAACTAGTATTTTTAGTCCTGGTTGCTTTTAGCCTCTGTATAGTTCCTTTTTTAAACACATTTTCTATACGTTAATAAAAGATCCTGAAGGAATGTGTGCGTGCTCTGTGTGGTCCTGGGGAGTGGGGAGGCAGGCCTCCAGGACTGGCCTCCCCTCCGCCTCCTGTCCCTGTGTCCCAGGCCTCTCCTGCCCAGTCTACTCTGCATCGCCCTGTGGCCCCTGTCCCCCCCTCCACCCCCCCCCCGGTGCCCTGCTCCCCTCCGAGCCTCCCGCCTGCCCCTGCTTGGGCTCTCTCCTGTCTCCTCCATACCTCGCCCTCCTCGTTCTGCCACCTGCTCTTCCCCCTCTCCTGCGCTCTCTTCCTTCCCCACCGCCCGCCCACTTTGCATTCTTCATCTCCACCTTTGCTTTCACCATCACAAAAAGGTCACCGATGGGTTGTGGGTCTTGCCTATGGCTTGGAGTCCTTGACCCGCCGCGCAAAGACGGAGACTCACTGCCTGCACTCTGGGGGGGGGGGAGGGGAGGGGAACATCCCCGCCAGATCTCCGGGGCTCTAGCGCCACCTACGGGTGCTGCCGAGAATATTTGACAAGCCCAATGTGCTGAGACTGCCAGTGGGTCCCTACCTGCCAGATGTCACTGCTGTCTTGGAGCTGGCCCCAGCTAATGGCTCTGATGGTGGCTCCCATGCCACCCGCTTCTCAGCCTTGGTCACCTGGGAAAGCATTTCGCTTTCTCTCCCTTGAAAACGGGCCCGTGCATAATGTAAGATCAACGCTAACCTCCAGGCCAAGAAAGTAAGACCCCA